TTTTTTTTTTGAGATGGAGTTTGCTCTCGTTGCCCAGGCTGGAGTGGAGCGGCATGATCTCTGCTCATTGCAGCCTCTGCCTCCCAGGTTCAAGCAATTCTCCTGCCTCAGCCTCCCGAGTAACTGGGATTACAGGCGCCCGCCACCATGCCTGGCTAATGTTTGTATTTTTAGGAGAGACAGGGTTTCACCATGTTGGCCAGGCTGGTCTTGAACTCCTGACCTTGTGATCCACCTGCCTCAGCCTCCCAAAATGCTGGGATTACAGGTTTGAGCCACGCACCTGGCCTTTGGCTCCATATTTTAAGAAAATCATGAGGAAACAAGATACAGAGATAAAATTTAGAGAACCTGAGGAGGACATAAAGATGTAGTTTTACTGAGTTTCTTACCTTAACGGAGGATGGAGATAGAAAACCATCACAAGATAATAGGTTATATAGTCTCAAAAGAGTCTGGGCTTTAGAATCAGATAGACCTGGGTGCAAATCTGAGTTCCAATGCACCTACATATGGCCATAGGCAATTGAATGTTTTTAATCCAATTTTCTCATCTGTTAAGTGGGGGGTGAGGGATGACTATAACCTCACTGGGTTGTTGTGAGGATTAAATAAGGTAGCATGAAAAAGTATCTGGCACATGGTATATGCTCAAAAATGATTACTTTACCTTCCCTTCTTGAAAATTTCCATGGACAGAGATTTGAGCTTCCCCTCAGAAACCTCTCCATAACTAAAAGGGTCTTCCACATGTTCAGTTAAAGTCGCTCATATTTGCTTTGTCTGCTTCCTGTACTCGGCATTCTGTGGGACAGAGAGAGCTCAGCAGCCTTTGCAGAAAATCTCTCACATTTGTAGAAACTATTTGAGTTTTAGTTCAAAAGGAACGCTCTTACTTTGAGGTTAGAAAAATGTTCTATAAGGAAGTGGAATGTGGAAGAGGTCTAAGCTCTGAATTAGGGTTGTTCACAGTGCAAGAGAGGATGGCAAACGCCACCCAGATATCAGATGGTTCTGATGGCTGGCTGTTCTTTTTGGACATTAGAAGGTTTAATTTGTGTCACATACTGTGCTATTGGCTTTGTACACACTTAAATATTTTGGAAACCATATGAGGTAGTTATTACCATGCTTTTCCTTCTCTGTATTTCTTAAATGGGGAAATTGAGGCTAAAGGTCATATGGTTAGGAAAGGCCCATGGCTGCCTCTGGACGAAACCACACTGCTTCTCTAGTCTGAGACCTAAGGGATTAGCTTCAGCAGTTTTTCAGTTGGCAAAGAAAGTGAAAGTCTGGAAAAAGCTATTAAAGAAGGCTCTATAGGTCTTTTTCTGGTTAGTCCAGCACCCCTTTGTGATACAAGCCCTAACATACACACAAAGGTTGACTCTATAATCTTCAAGGGTATACACAGCAATTTTCTACAAACTCCATCATATCAGCTTTTGTTTTTGGGAGGAATGTTTGTAATCAGAGTGCTGTTTGCAAAGCAGAAACATGCACTGTTTTACAAGCAATGGGTAAGAAATGTGTTTACCTACTTCATGCACTAATTAAAAATCTTTTTAGGACAAGCTGACAAGTACCATATGTTTAGTGCAGTAATAAGGGGCTTTACACTCAGGGCTAGAGTAGGAGTGTGTTGGCTGTCCTGTAGGCACAAGGCTCCAAGGAATCTTTCTGGACCAGGGCACACCCTAACTGTCACAGCTCAGCTATGTCCTTCTCTAGAGAGATAGCTCTGTTGTTTTCACTTGAGGAGAGTCCTTACTCTGGGGCTGAGGGCAAAGCTTGTATGTGAAGAATTGTAAAAATGAACACTTACAAGTAAGGGCCAATGTAAATAGGTCAGCAAGTGGTGAAGGGTTAGCATATATATTAGCATAAAAAAAATGACGATGCAGATTTCCAGAATTGTGATTGCTATAAATGACTCATTGGCTTGGGCGATGATGAAACAAGCTAATGCTCCTATGATCAGACTCTGCAATAAAAGAAACAGTATTTGTTTTAATGCACAATTTAAAAAAATCTATATTGTCAGAATGTAAATCTGATTACAGTGTGGTGCAGTGGCCTGTACTGTTTTGCACATACATTTTTAACATTTCTTATATTTTGAAGAAATGAAAAATTCATGAGAATAATAAAAAAGCACACAGTATACAAGGATAAAAAATATATCAATTTCTTTCTCTTCCCCCCAACTTAACCTTAGTCTCTCTCCTTAAAAGTAACCAGTATTAACAGTTCATACTGAACACTAGAAAGAAGTCTTTATATATACTGGTAAAATACATATATGTTGATTTTGGTAGAAGAAGTGAGGAAGAGCCTCAGTTTTCTTTCTTTCCAAACAGCTGCTGATTATCTCAACATCATTTACTGGGAAGTGCCAGTATTATCCCCATTGATCTGAAATCCAACCTTTATGGTATACTAAATTCTCAGATGTATTTTGGTCTCTTGAGACTGTTCTTTCGCTGAATTGTTGCTTCCTCCTCTAGTACTCTGTGATAGGCAATTCACTTTCTACTGAGTTATTGTTTGGCCTAGTCTTCCTAATACTCATTCTCAGACTGTTTATGCCTCCCATGTTTGTGTTGGTCAAGTTCCCCAAGCTAAGTGTTGGCATTTTAGTTGGGATTTCTAAATGAAATACTTAAATACTTACAATTTGGAAGAATTCACACTTAAGTTTTTATCAAGAACAAAGTATGTCTTTCCAGTTATTCTGATGGTTTTAAAAAAGATGTCTCAGGTCTAAGACCTGGAAGCAACCCAAATGCCCATCGATGATAGACTGGACAGGGAAAATGTGGTACATATATACCATGGAATATTATGCAGCCATCAAAAATGATGAGTTCATGTCCTTTGTAGGGACATGGATGAACCTGGAAACCATCATTCTCAGCAAACTGACACAATAGCAGAAAATCAAACACTGCATGTTCTCACTCATAGGCGGGTGTTGAACAATGAGAACACATGGACACAGGGAGGGGAGCGCTACACACTGGGGTCTGTTGGGGGGAAATGGGGGAGGGACGGGGGATGGGGAGGTGGGGAGAGATAGCATGGGGAGAAATGCCAGATATAGGTGAAGGGGAGGAAGGCAGCAAATCACACTGCCATGTGTGTACCTATGCAACAATCTTGCATGTTCTTCACATGTACCCCAAAACCTAAAATGCAATTAAAAAAAAGAAAAAAAAAAAGATGTCTCAGGAGTTTTAGTTTTCTTCCCATATGTGTATCATATTTCACTTATTTTAGATATTTGATCATTTTGATTACTGTTGTAAAGAGAAATATTTTCTTACATTTTAAGTGGTTATTTGTCTAGGAAAGATTTTAGTTTATTTATTAACACAATAATGAGTCACCTAACTAAACTCTCTTGTTCTAAATTGTTTCCAGCTGATTTGGGTTTTTCTAGATATATAATCATATTAGCTGAAAGAAAGGATATACTTTACTTCTTTTTTTTTTTTTTTTTTTGAGATGGAGTCTCGCTCTGTCACCCAGGCTGGAGTGTAGTGGCACGCTATCAGCTCACTGCAACCCCCACCTCACAGGTTCAAGCGATTCTCCTGCCTCAGCCCCCTGAGTAGCTGGGACTACAGGTGTGCGCCACCACACCTGGCTAATTTTTGTATTTTTAGTAGAGATGGGATTTCACCATATTGACCAGGCTGGTCTTGAACGCCTCACCTAAGGTGATTTACCCACCTTGGCCTCCCAAAGTGCTGGGATTACAGGTGTGAGCCACCATATCTGTCCACCTCTTTTCAAATACTTTTTTCTTCCTAATTATGACTAGTGGTTTCAGAAACATTGACTCACAGTGTAGCAGGCATCATTTGTTCCCCTCATTTAACAAATCCTTCTGTTGTTAAATATGATGGTTTTAGTTTGAAATGTTTATTTTTATAATGCCAATGGAATATTTATATACTCCTCTCTTACTGGTCTCCCTTCTTGAAAATCAGGGACAAATGTTGAATTTTGTCACGTTCTGTGACATAATCTCGTAATTTTTTATAATGTGATATCTCATTTTTTCCTATTACTTATAATACAGTGAATTATTTTAATAGAGTCTATATTGAATCATCCTGTTTCTTCCTTGTGATATTTTCATCAAGTAGTGATGAATATTATCTGCTGATATATTGATATTATATATTGAGATCTCTAGTTCATTTTCTTTTTCTGAGCTCGGTCAAGTTTTCCTATCAGTATTATACTGACTTTGTAAAGATAGTTCAGTAGTGTTTCTTCTTTCTCTATTCCTTGACAAATTCAGAGTAGTATCAGAATTATATCTCATGAAGGCTTGAAAGAGTTAACTTGTGAAAGGGCCTGGGCCTGATACATTTTTGAAAGATACTCATTTGATGAAATTCTCATTTTCTTCTATGTTTATATTGCCCTTTTTAGATTTTTCCCTATTCTGGGATCAGTTTTGGTAATTTATATTATTTTTCCAGAAAATCAACCATTTCATCCAGTTATTCACATTGATTTGTTTTGCAAGATACTCCCTGTAGATCCTTTCAGTTTCACTGATGTTTGTGATTATTTTCCCATATTGTTTTCTAATTTTAAATATACATCCTCTCTTCTCCCTTTTTTTTCTTGATTATATTGGCCAGTGGTTTATCAATTTAATAGGTCTTTCAAATGACAGCCCTTGTATTGATTATTTTTGTTTCCTAACTTATAAGTTCCTATTATCTTCATTGCTTTCCTAATTTCCTTTGTGAGAGGAAACCTGAGAAGTAAAAAAGATAAGGAAAACAAGACAAGTTGAGTAGGAAGGGTTGAGTGTGTGGAGAGCAAGGGGCGGTGGGGAGGAAAGGTGAGGCAAAACAAAAGTGAGTGGCAAAGTGCACTATGGAAGCTTTCTGGAACTGGCGCCCCCTGGGCATTTCCCCGAGGCCACTGCCGGCCACATCCGCCCAGCTAGGTCTCACCAGCTCTCGGCTCACCATTCTCAGGATCTTCAACATTCCAGTGGGCGAGAAGAAAAAACGCTTGAGGCTGTCCCTGAATTTGTACGGGACTTTGGCTCGGCCCTCCGCACGCTCTTTGATCGCTGTCTCATTTAAGAGTTTGGACTCAGTGGGTGCAGAGGGCGTTGGGGGTGGGCGTTCGGTGGCTTTCCTTGAGGGTGCAGTGCCCTCGCTGCCTTTGGGACGTGCGGGGGCTACGGACTGCACTGTGCGAACTGAGACGGCAGAGTGCTTCCGGGGTGCGGTCTTCGCTGACTTGTCGCGCTGTTCCTTAGGTACAGAACTCACGACATTGCCGCCACTTGCCAGGTCTGTGGCAGTCTCTGGTTGTTTCGAGCTCCCTGAAGGTGCCTTGGACGACTCAGATTTGGTATCTTCAGGATTCATGGTGGGTCCCAAGGGCCTGGCCGTCTGAACCAGTGCCGCAGCAGCGGCTGGCTTTCCCCTGGGAACCAGCGTCACGTCCCAACGGCTGCTACCTCTCTGGCGCGCGCACCGAGTTCTCGCTGCCCCGCCGACAAGTTGAGCCCTTCAGCCACCCTCGTTGCCACGGGGAGGGAGGGGTGCAATGCCAATGCCTAGCCTGAGAACGCAAAACCTCTGCAACCCCACCCCTCGGAGCTGCCGACCCGCCAGGCAGTAAAGAGATTCAAAGATCCCCAAGGCCGATCCTGGCACATTTTTCCCTGCCACACCACTCAGGCCGCGGGAGCCGGAAAACCCGATCCCTTCGAAGTTATAGCAGTGCTCTGCGCTAGGCGCAGAGTTCGGAAATCTCTTCCTCCAGCTCCCATACTGAGTTAAATAACCGCAGAAAATATGTGGAAGAATAAAGAAATACGTTTAATACTTAGTATCAAACTAAAAAGTAATATAAAATTACAAAACTTATTTTTTTTCATGAACAGGCTTTTTCTGGTAAGGACCACTGGGATTGAACAGAAGCTTCCGGTAAATAAGGGCCCCGTCGGCAAGACAGCACACTGCTGCCACGAGTGCAAACACCTGGAAAGAAAGACACATGTCACTGCCCTGACCGTTGTCCCCACTCCCATCATTCACACAAGTTTTAAGTGGTATGCCCGCCAGACTCCTCTCTGGTTAGGACACTCAGATTGCCCCTGTGCTGCACCTAATACTAACATGGAGAGATTCAGAGGTCATCTTATTCTCCTCATTGCAAAGTTTTTTAGATACTTGCCTATAGAAAGAGAAAAGGTAATTTAACTGAGCAGAAAAATAATGAAGCAGTGCGGGCTCTGAAATAAATACTTGTTTGCTTTTATCTCTTGACCTGCTCTTACATGTATTCTTTTAAGCCCTACTGAGGATATTTAGTTACCAATCAATATTTCTAACCCCAGTATTCAACTCTTTGACTTCTCTGCTGACAAACTCTAGGGAAGACAAGGTCAAAGTTAACACCAGCTCAGTATTAAATTATGGGGACTGTAGCTCCAAAAAACCGAAGTTAATAAGATGAGCCAAAGTGAACTCTCAAAGGCTAGGCTACATCTGCTTAAGGGGTGACATTCTAAATAGGCCTTAAGAAAGTAAAATTGAGGGAAAGGCAATAAACAAGAACATGTGGGGGCCTTCAGGCACTCTGATAGCTATTTGAGAGCTGGTGCCGGGGACGGAGGAAGTGATGTCATTCCTTGCACGCTATTTGATCAGCTTCATCCAGTGATCAGGAAGTTTGGCTTCCTGGCTCTAGACATGGCTCCCACAGTCTCCTTTTCTACCCAGAGTCTCAAGCCACTGCCTCCTAGGTTCTGACCACACTGAATACCTGCTACCAATCTTTTCATGACTGGCATTCTATATATTATTGGCTCCTCTACCTGGAAACTTTTCACTTTTATCTCCTTTATTCTCAGCAAATAGCAATTCCACTGCCAGAGAGGTAGTTTCCTCTTTTCTGCACCCTGCAGCTCCCTGTCAACAGCTTACATAGAGTGGTTTCCACTTCTGTCTCTGTTAGGCTCTAAGCAACGTGAGGATAGGGCTCACACTCTAGTCCAGTGCTGCCTAAAAGAAGCATAATGCCAGTCACATGTAACATAGCCATATAATTAAAGATTTTTTAACAGCCACATTATAAATGTAAAGAAATAAGTCATAGATTTAATATATTTGCTCAGTATATCTAAAATACTATCATTTAACATGCAATCATTAACAATATACTCTACATTCTTTGTTGGGGTAAAACATCTTTGAAATTCAATGTGTATTTTTATGCTTACAGCTGATCTTGATTCAGACTGGCCACATTTCCAGTACTCAGTAGTCCCATGTGGCTAGCAACTGCTGTTACTATACTGAACAGCACAACTCTATACTTTGTCAGCCCCTGCTGAAGTACACTTAAGAAATGAGGAAATGAATGAATGAGTAAAAACGTGAATGAAAGTAAATCCTATGCCTGGTTCCCTCCTTCTTCATAGTAGAAAGATGAGTATTATCTTCAAAAACAACGGGGGTAAATTGATACACAATCGATCTCATTTCTAGAATATTCTGAACCTTCATGAAGTTGCTTAGGGCCTAAGGGAGATGAAAATCATGGATTCTGACATATATGACTATCTGAGAGTTCTCCTAAGTGACCCATACTATGAAAGAACAAGGAAGCAGGAAGATTTATTTAAGAACTTTCTAATTCAATTTTCTAGGACAGAACTTAGAAAAGCCAAAAAGATTTTGAACCTTGTATGAGAAATCTTAGAAGAATATCAGTTAGAACTATAACTAAATTACTTGAGTCATATTCTGGTTTGCTTTCTAGGATAAGGTCTGATGGAATTGATCTGCTTCTCTTCAAGCAGTGTTCAAAATGATCCTTTAGTTGCAAGGTGCCCTAACAATGTTCCCTTACCATAAGGGCATCTTCTATTCTATTCTATCCGAAGGATCTGAACAAGAAATAACTGAGCTCAAAACAGTCTGTCTCATCTTAACAAGTGGTATGTATCCTTTTCTATAAAAGGGAGAGCTATGAAACTTATCCATCTTTTTTTGTTTTGCTTGACATCAGGTTTCTCAGAGCTAAGTGCTGTAACTAATTCTAGTAGCAGCTTTTGTCAGTCTAGTCTAGCTCTACATACCTATAAGAAATCTGTAGGAACCTCTTTATCAGGTTAATTCCACTTCTAGTATAAAATCATATTCCTTCATATTAATCACGGCAAGCATTCACAGACAAAAATATTAAGCTGGCTGGGCGTGGTGGCTCATGCCTGTAATCCCCAGCATTTTTGGAGGCCGAGGTGGATGGATCACGAGGTCAGGAGATCAAGACAATCCTGGTCAACATGGTGAAACCCCATATCTACTAAAACACAAAAAATTAGCTGGGCGTGGTGGTGTGCGCCTGTAGTCCGAGCTACTTGGGAGGCTGAGGCAGGAGAATCGCTTGAACCCAGGAGGCGGAGGTTGTAGTGAGCTGAGATTGTGCTACTGCCCTCCAGCCTGGTGACAGAGCAAGACTCCATCTCAAAAAACAAAAACAAAAAATATTAAGCCACTAGGCACTGTATATTGGTCTAGGAACCTCAAGGATGAATACAGTACAGCATTCTATTCTTACATCTGTTTTCCAAATAAATTTGCATTCTGATAAAACCTGAAGAAAGAAACCAGAAAGACTTCCACTTACCCCTCCAACAACTGTCAACGTTGTGGTTTCTGGTATCAGTGCCAACACAGCTACGATGAGCATGAATACTGTTGTTACCAGTGAGTTGATAATATCCTAAAAACACACAATAAAGCTCAGCCTTACATGAAGACTACCACGCAATGCTAAAAAAAA